CTCCCACTATCCGTATTGCAGACCATAATACCCATAAGTAGAGAGAGAACAAAAGGGAAATTGTCTGCCACAGGCGGGCGCAGGGAGCGGGGTGGAACAAGGCAGGTGAGACAGGTACTGGGGACATTGGTGGAAAATGTACACTGGTGGAGGGAGGGTGTTTGATCATTGTATATCTGAAACTCAAACATGAAAGATTTTTAACTGTAGCTCATGGTGATTCAACAACAAAAAAAAATTTTTAAATAATAATAATTAACTCCTGTGTTTCACTAATAAAAATCTAAAAAAATTAAAATAAATAAATAAATAATAATTAGCTCCTGAGAACAGCCAGGAGTGATCCAACTGCCCTCCCCCTCCCCATAATCCCAAGTCACGGTCATGGTCCTCCCGTTGTTCATCGATTTGCTCGAGCGGGCCCAGTAACGTCTCCATCATGAGACTTCTTGTTACTGTGTTTGGCATATCGAATACATCACGGGTAGCTTGCCAGGCTCTGCGTGCGACCAAGATACCCTCGGTTGCTTGCCGGGCTCTCCGAGAGGGGTGGAGGAATCGAATTTGGGTCGGCCATGTTGGCTGCATGCAAGGCAAACACCCTACCACTGTGCTATCGCTCCAGCCCAATCCCAAGTCAATATATCTTAAAGATACCCCTGAGCACCACTAGGAGGTTCATGTAACACACAGAGAAAAGATTTGAGGGACAGAGCTCTACCAAGGATGCCAAGACTATATATGAAATAAGTGGATAAGAATTAATCATACAAGGAATACTCTAAAGCAATGCTGCCATAGTGAGACAGAACTCCACACCCCCTCAAAAGAATATGTGGCTCTCTACAAGTATCTTGAGGCATTCCTGTGACACCTGAAACTGAGGACAGAGTCCCTTGCTCACCAAGTACACAAAATTAACTGTCACTCAACTCCTAGAAATAAGTTAGTATCCAGAAAATCTTTAAAGGAAGGAATCTAAATCTAGGTAAGAGAATAATGCATCTGGTCAAGAAGTTTTCACAAGAGTCTTAGGTTAATTAAGAGATTTAAATATTAGTAATTAATGTCCTTTCCTAATATTGTTTAATATAAAAGACCAAGCTATATATATCACATAAACAGGAGGCTCGGGAAAGAAAGATGGCGGCCGCACGGGAGCCTTGTGGACAGCAGGTTTGAGCCGGGCTCGGCGGGAGCGGTGGGGACCTCATGGGAAGGGGGGCTTTGTGGGCCGTCCCCCACACCCCACCGAGGTCGCCAGCTGCCCCCCACGAGCGGCTCTCCGGCACGGCCACGGCCCCGGAGGCACAAGGACTTAGCACAGAGAACCAGCCGCTTGGAGCAGAAAAGCAAATGGACTATGTGTTAAACCGCGCCACCAAGCCTGCCCGGAGGGGAAAGGGTGTTGACCGGCCCGCCTGCTCCTCTCTGGAAAGAAAGATGGCGGCCGCATGGGAGCCTTGTGGACAGCAGGTTTGAGCCGGGCTTGGCGGGAGCGGCGGGGACCTCATGGGAAGGGGGGCTTTGTGGGCCGTCCCCCACGCCCCACCGAGGTCACCAGCTGCCCCCCAACGAGCGGCTCTCCGGCACGGCCACGACTCCAGGGCACAGAAGCCAGTCTCTTAACTATCTAACTTTTAATAGAAATTCTTCCAGGGTCAATAAGTAAAATAGCAGAAATTCAAAACCGCGCGGCCGCGATAGCGGCCGCGCGACATCATTTTATCCTTAAACCAAGTTGTAGAAAGCAAATCATTTCACAACGCTGTTTCAGCATATCTGATTGTGGGGGGTGGGTCGTAAACTCTAAACAATAATTGTGCATCTTCTATCGAAACAATCTATCTAGTCAAAGTAGATAGAGTATTAACTAGAACTCATCTGCCTCACAAGAATTGGGAGGGGTGGGAGGTGGGGGTCTATTGGGGTTCGGGGTTAAAAATAAGTATTGGTAAAGGGAAATGTGTTTGATATTTACATGACTGAGACCTAAACCCGAAAGCTCTGTAACTTTTCCCACAGTGATTCAATAAAGAAATAAATTATAAAAAAAAAAAAAAAACAGGAGGCTCTCTGTAAAAGTAACAATGAATGTGAGATATTAAAAATAGTAACTGGGTAAGTACTCTAAATAACTCAAGAACAGGAGCTAAAGAGAAAGAGAGAGACAAAGAAAAGAATCTTCTGTTATTTTAGGGAGCCATACCCAGCAGTACTCAGGGGCTATTTCTGGGGTTCAATGTTTAGGATCACCCCTGGAGTTGATGGGAAACTAACGGGTGCCAGGAATCAAACCAAGTTCTCCTCCGTGCAAAGCATCCACTCCAATCTGTTATGCAATCTCTCACACCCAACAAGACACTTTTAAATAGCAAAAAATATGATGTCTCAGGATGAAAAACAATGTCCAAACGAAATTCCAGAGGTGATTTTTCTTTTAGTAAATGGGGGTGCTTAAGCTTGGTGCCTAGATGATCCACAAGAAAAAGACATCTACTTCAAAGACAGGAGTCAATCAAACACCTTCCTCCCTTCCACCCCCACAACACAGGAGACTCCTTATTTATTTATTTATTTATTTATTTATTTATTTATTTATTTATTTGTACAGATCCTGGTTGATTTAGATATCTGGTCAACTGGGTGTAACTTTGTATCTTCCCTCTCTCCTCTTGTCGCTTTCCAAATTCCCTGCTCTAATGATTTAAATGCATCTATACAGAAAAAGGAAACCCTAAAACTTCCACTCCTGGCAGTCTCCCACCTATTTCACTCTGGCCCACATGTGCTATGTAACTGTCAGACCACTTTCAAGATTTTATTTTTTTTTTTAAGTTTCCAAAAGGTTATTTTTGAAAGGCATCTTCTTGCTATCCTAAGAATCTTAAAAGCCTGTACCTTCTAGTTTTCAATAGGCTGAGACACAAAGAAAGGTGGACAAAAGCTTTCTAAGCAAGAAATCTCATGCCAGGCTAGTGGGAATACAAAATGACACTATAATCTCACTAAACTGATTAAAGTTATCGATTGTAGTTACCCTTTATCCTACTTCCAGGAATCTATCTCATACACAGACCTGTATTTTGAGGTTAGTCACTGAAACAATGTAGAATCAAAAAATTGAAAATAGCAAATAATCAGTTTAATAAACCATAGACACACTTGACCCACTAAACAGTTGCAACAAAGAAGCAATCCATGTTCAAGGACAGGCTGGGAAAAAGAAACAAGGGGGCATGGGGGAGGGGGGCGGGGAGAACACAGACTTCCTATTTAAAGTGTTTTTCCAAGCATGAGAATCAACATCAGAGTTTAGAAATGCAGAACTCAAAATCCTGCAAAATCTCCTAAATTAAATCTAAGTTAAAATGGAGATATTAACTTAGTATAAAATCTACATTTTAACTTAGTAATGTATAGGTGCACCAAAATTTAAAAAGCCCTAAGGATAATAGATTTTTCTGTAACGTACAACAAAAGAGTAATAATCCATTAACATATTTCCATATAGGGGCAGAGAGTATAGCAGGTAGGGCACTTGCTTCTTGCTTTGCACATATCCGGCCCAAGTTCAATCCCCAGCACCCCACGTGGGTCCCCTGAATCCTGCCAGGAATGACTGCTGAGTGCAAAGCCAGGAGTAGACCCTGATCATAGCCAGGTGTCTCCCAAAATTCAAAAGCAAAAACAAAACAAAAAAGTTTTTGCTTTTAACAGAACAGAGAAATAGCAGGAGCAAAAATAACTAAAAATACACTTCCAATTGTCTGGGACTCTACCAGTACATGCCAGCTATCCCAGCATAATTGTTTACAGATCTGCTTTCACTCTCTGTCAAAGTGTCTCAGCTGAAATAATAAATGCCATGCTATCTAGAGTAAGCACCAAATAAAAGTAACAGGAACTGGGATGTGTGCGTGTGTGTGCGTGTGTGTGCAATAAGACAGTTTTTACTGAAAAGTATTTAGAAAGATGTGAGGGGAGAGAAAGAAAGAAAGAAAGAAAGAAAGAAAGAAAGAAAGAAAGAGAAAGAAGTGTTCAAGAGAGATCACAGGCTTCTCCAGAGTGAAAGCGAGCAAGCAGACATACAGAGACAAGCAAAATATGTGTTCAAAGGTGAACAGTGGCTTGAAAAGCAAGCTGGGAATGGGAATTTTGATATCTTTTGTACCATTTTAAAAACCATGTTTATTTTATTTTTTTTAAAAAATCAAACTAGACCGAAAAAAATGTACCAAGAAGGACTACAGAAAGAAAAGGAATAATGTCAAGGGAGAAGCAATCATGAAATAAGAGGAAAAGAGGAATAAAAATAAAATCTGTCACAGGAAAGGAGTTAGGGCAGTGGAGCACAGATAGCAACAGAGCAGATTTTCAAAAGAGAGCCTAGATAAAACTATCAAATGTAGCACAAGAGTAAGACAAAGACAAAAACCAAATTTGCCTCCCATTTGATGGTTTTCTACCACCACCTGCTTCAGATGAGGAGGGTGAAAGAGGAATATCCTTATTGATTGAAACATAAAACGAGAAATAGAAGAAGTGTGTGCTTTCAAGGTGGAAAAATAAACGACCTGACACTAATACTTTTGAAGATTATTTTGCATTCCTTGAAGCTTGAAGCTTGAAGTTTTATTCGTATACCAGAAAAGCAGGGAAATTATACCACTAAGTTTGACCCCAGGGAAATTATACCATTAAGTTCTGCTCTGGTACACTCTGTTTCCATTAAGAAATGATAGGCAATGTATTTACTTTAGGAATGTTATTAGAAACATCACCATCATATGGTTAACTGAATTTTTAAATCCCACATCTAATTTGGCCAACTACTCTATTTTGGATATGCTGCTCTCACTGTTATTTTCCTTAATGCAAAACTTTGTTAATTTACTGTAAAGGTCCTATTTCTACTTTTGCATTTAAAAAAAAAGTCAATCCATATAGACTTTAGGAACCCCAGTTTAAAAGAAAGTGGAAATGAACAAAAATCTCACCTGTAATTCATTCATTTTTCACTCTGAGTGAAGAAGGAAGAGCTGAGGGAAAAAGAAGAAGCCAGTCAGATTACTCTTGGTCTGTTTTGCAGTTACCGGATCCACCTGCCTACACAGATCCACACACAAGATACTTACGTGTCGATCTGTGGCTCCAATATATGTTGGTTTTAGACATGACACTTTTCACTGAATGAATGTAAAACATTTGTTTCTTATAGATTTATTATCAATTTAGGTTCTGTGACACAGAAAAATTAAAAACATGAAAAGGTGAGTTTAACATATAACAGTACCCTAAAGGAAGAAGTATTATGGACTTGTCGAAATTGGTATGTGTGTGGATCTAGAGACATCAAGCTATTGTTCATCTATTTACCGGGCAACACCATTTATTCCTTGAGGTCTGTAAGTCCAAGAAACCTCCGGGAAAAAGAATCAAAATGACCAAAAATGTTGATCAAAAAGGAAAAAAGATCAAAAATGTTTGTTCGGGGCTGGAGCAATAGCACAGCGGGTAGGGCATTTGCCTTGCACCCGGCCGACCCGGGTTCGATTCCCAGCATCCCATATGGTCCCCTGAGCACCGCCAGGGGTAATTCCTGAGCACAGAGCCAGGAGTAACCCCTGTGCATTGCCGGGTGTGACCCAAAAAGCAAAAAAAAAAAAAGTTTGTTCTAGCCTTCTTATAATATCCAAAAGGATCTTTTTCTAAGAAACTAACTTTAACCAAACAATAGCAAAAATCAGAGTGGTTCAGAAATCTGGAGACCTGACTTTTGGGTCCTGTCACTAACAATTTGTGTCATCTCAGCCAGTCACCTTCTCAATTTCTTTTTCAGTTTTAAGAAGGGGGCAAAACAGAGAACCCAAAAAAAAGATCTATGCCTGCGGTACCAATCTGTGAGTCTATTAAACCAGGACTTTGCATCTCCATCAACAATGGATTACGTTGTAGATAAAAGAGAATAAGGAGAGGGGTATTTAGGCAGGCAGGGAGAGTAACAATTTCTAACAATTTAGCTAAGGCTGGTGAGCCTTGTATTCTTAAAAAAAAAAAAAAAAAAAAAAAAGCCGCACAAACTCTCCAAAGAGGTGGCATTTTCTCCGACGAGGTAACCTGCATGTTCCACCCTCCTCGTCTCCCGCTCACCTCGCTCTTCTTAAATTTGTCCCAGGTCTTCCACCGTCACACACAGACTTCGATGGCTTCAAGATACTGTTATGATGAGACATAATAAATAATTTTAAAAACCAAACATCATAGTTTGGGATCTGGGGCACAGGGTTCTGGTGGTTAGCTTAGACCAGCCGCTTTCCTCTTGCATTTCCCATATGAGTTCAGTGAGGAATGGAAGCTCCAGCCGCAAACATCACAGCCACAAAAGCAAGAGGCAAATACAGCAAAGCAAACGGTGCGCTCGAAACAGCTTCGGGAGGCTGGGATTTATTTTACTTTTTTTTTGTTTGTTTGTTTGTTTTGGTCTCTGCTGGTGACCGAGATGGCAAACCCAAGCCTCAGGTCGGTTATTCCGTCCGAGTAATTCATTTACATCCCACCACCCCGCAGCCGCCCCAGCAAGCCTAGCGCTGCAGCCACGCACGCGTCCACGTCACACGCGCGCGCGCTCGCTCGACCCCACGGCCCCGCGCCCCGCCCCGCCGGCCTGGCCGAGCCGTCCAGGCTCACGCACGCTGCACAGCGACCACACGACGGCGCCCTCGGCTCAGCTCGGGCGGGTACCTGCGGGCCCGGGGAGCCCGGACGCCCGCATTCCCAAGCAGAATAATAATTTTTTTTAAAAATTAAAAAAAAAAAACACCTCTTTTTGCAAACCGATGCTTGCATCCCCCGTACCTACAGCTCCGTCTGCATCGCGGACGCACGGAGTCCACTGCGCCCCGGGAAGCACCATCACCTCCTCCAGATCGCCCAGCCACGGGGAGCCCCTGGACCCCCGCTCCTCCCCTCCCGGGCTCACTCGCCGCTTCCTCGCCGCGTGGATCCCCAGGCCACGGGCCGTTTCCCACGAGGGGCGGGGGACAGCGTAAGGACGAGCTGGGCTGAGAAGGCGGGGATGCACATGCGCAGAGGGCGCGGCGCGGCGCGGCGCTGGAGAGCTGGGGCCGTGGGGCTCCAAGCCTCTGAAGTTGGGCTAAGCGGTCAACCCCTAGAAGCAGAGTTTCTCTCCTATGATAGGAAAACGAAGCTGCTAGCGGCACCCAGCTAGCAACGTTTCCATGAAGATGGAAAGCGTTTGCATTGTTCAAGCGCTTAGGATAACTTGCGCAAAATTGTTCAGTGTAGCTTTCAAGTTCTCCTTTCCCTATGGACAGTGTCCACTCATTTAGAAATCAGACCCTGATTTCGAAAGAAATTTCTAAAGGCCTCGATTTCTGAATAAGACAGACCCAAAGGACTGGCCTGCAGAACTAAGCTTACCACGTAGTGGTGCGAGAGGGCACTTAGATGGGGGGGACCCTGTTGAAGGGTGTGGTGTTGGAACGTTGTTCTCATGAAACCCCATCACTGATAGTATGGTAAAGCAGAATTCCTAAATAAAAATAAACCAGTTGGAGAAATTCTGCCCTGTTGACTTAGTTGCAAGATACTGAGCTACTCAAGCCAAAAGTCTGTTCTTGTGCCTGAGATGTATATTAACGCAGTGTGACTTTCAGGCAAACCAAGAAAATGATAGACCTGTATAAATTTCATATTTGAAATGGGATATATTTTTTTAGCTTACACAAATTTATTTTCTATGGCTGGAGCAATAGCACAGAGGGTTGGGTGTTTGCCTTCCACATGGCTGACCAGGTTCTATTCCTCTGTCCCTCTCAGAGAGCCCGGCAAGCTACCGAGAGTATCCTGCCCACACGGCAGAGCATGGCAAGCTCTCGGTGGCTTATTTGATATGCCAAAAACAGTAACCAGTCTCACAGTGGAGACATGACTGACTGGTGCCCACTTGAGCAAATCGATGAACAATGGGAGAACAGTGCTAATACATAACAAGCATGGTTATTCTCTGGAAGAAAGGGTAAAAAGCAAACTAGCAGTTAGATATTAATAATTAAACCTGTACATATGTAAACTTGGGCCCGGAATAATAGTACTGTGGATAGTGCATCTGCCTTGTACATGGCTGATCTTGGTCATCCCAGGCACCCCATATAGACCCCAGAGCCTGCCACTAGTGATCCCTGAGCAAATATACATTCTTTTGTTTTCACATTTAGACATTTTTAGAACATGATCATAGCACTGTAGCACTGTCCTCCCGTTGTTCATTAATTTCCTCCAGCGAGCACCAGTAATGGTTTCATTGTGAGACTTGTTGCTCCTGCTTTTGGCATATCAGATACGCCAGAGGGAGCTTGCCAGGCTCTGCCATGTGGGTGGGGTACTCTCAGTAGCTTGCCAGGCTCTCCCAGAGGGCCGGAGGAATAGAACCTAGGGCAGCCTTGTGCAAGGCAAACGGCCTACCCGCTGTACTATGGCTCCAGCCCCATAGCACAATATTTTTACTAATTTCATAAAATAACAGTGCACTATTTACTAAACATCTTAATAATTCTTTTAAAAATTCAGATTTACGAAAGAGTTGCAAAGGCATTTCTCACATAACCATTTCCCTTATCACTGACATTTTACATAGCTATACTTTATGTGTCTTAACACTAAGAAATATGGCATACATTCTGAATAACTAAACTACAGATCAATTTTTTTCACTAATATACCTTTACTAGTTCAAAATTCAATCCAGAATACCACGGTACATTTACTCATATTGTTTTTAGTCTTCTCCAATCTCTTAACAGTTTCTTTGTCTTTCATGACCTTCAGATGCTTATCAATTTATAGTCAATTATTTTTTAAGTTTTTCCCTTAAATTTTATGATACCTGATGTTTTCTCCTGATTGGAAAATCCTTCAGAGAGATTATGCCAAACCCAAATATCATCATAACCTTATATTAATTTGGTTACTTGTATAATTTTGTGTCTAGCAGTTTTCTCTATTTATGAATTTTCCCCTTTTTAATCTACACTTAGAAGTATGTTTACTAAGTCCAATGCACACTCAGGGAAAGATGTAATAAATTCCCTTTATCATATTTGCGATATTTTAAAACTACCACATTTAATAGTAATGATGAGAAAAGACCCTTTAAGGGTATACAAATATTTGGTTTTGCCTCCAGTTTAAATTTCCACTGGTGGATTTGCCTGCTAAAATGATTAGCTGCTATTCTAAATGGTGGGTTTCTATTTCACTAATTCCTTCTATATGCATTAGCTGTGATTCTTCCAAAAGGAAAAAATTTCATTACCTCCCATTTACTTCTTTTTTGTTTGGGGGCCACACCCAGAAGTGCTCAGGGTTTACTCCCTCTGCACCAGAAAATCACTCTTGGTAGGCTCAGGGGACCATATGCATATGGTGTGCCAGGGATCAAACCCAGGTCTGTCTAGTGCTAGGCAAACGCCTTATGCAGTGTACTGTGATGCCGGCCCATCCACATATTTGCTTAGATTAGTACAGAGCCTCTGCCATGCTGTCTGCATTGGCAGACACCTGCGGAGGGATCGAGGTGCTTTGAGATAAGGCCCTGTGCTCAGGGAACCTCAGCCAAACTGTCTTCTCTTCCTTTATACCTTTTTATTTTTATTTTATTTTATTATTATTAATTTTTTTTTGCTTTTTGGGTCACACCCGGCAATGCACAGGGGTTACTCTGGCTCTGCACTCAGGAATTACTCCCGGCAGTGCTCAGGGGACCATATGGGATGCTGACAATCGAACCCGGGTCAGCCGCGTGCAAGGCAAATGCCCTAACCGCAGTGCTATCGTTCTAGCCCCCTCTTTATACCTTTTTAAAGGTCAGCTTCTTTGTAGAATCACAAAGAAGTGATCGTTGATGTCAAGAGAGGGGTGCAGCAGGGTGATACCATTTCACTGAAACTCTTCAGTGCCACCCTCGAGAACATCATGCGACGACTGGAATGGGAAGGAATGGGAG